GTTCTTTAAGAAATGCTCGGCTCAAAGTGTCCGCAATGTAAAGTTCCTTACCAGGTTTGTACTTTACCTTTAAGTTGTACCTCTGTAGCCTCAGAAGCATTCTCTGTAGTCTCATAGGAGCCTGGTGAAGTGATTTTTTGAAAATACTCTAGCGGCTTGTGATCACTTTCCACCTCAATGTCTTTGCCGTAAACGTACTGATGAAACTTTTCACAGCCATAGACGATAGCCAGTAGCTCTTTTTCAATCTGAGCATACCTTTGCTGACAGTCTGTGAGTGCTCTGGATCCGTATGCCACAGGCTGTCCATCCTGCAGCAAGACTGCACCGATTCCTTCAGAACTTGCGTCCACAGACAGAGTGACCCGTTTATTGACATCGTAGTATTTTAGTGTAGGAGCATTAGTGACCAGTTGCTTCAGTTTTTCAAAACTTTTTCGCTGCACTTCCTCCCAGTGCCACTCCACATTTCCTTCCAATAGCTTTCTTAATGGTGCACTGCATTCTGACAGGTTTGGTATGAACTTAGCTAGATACTGGATCATACCCAGAAATCTCAACAGTTCTTGTTTGTCCTGTGGAGGAGGTAGCTGCGTCACTGCTCTCACTTTTTCTTCATCTGGTGTCAAACCATTATCCGTGAGTGTATGACCAATATACTTGATCTCCTTTGTCCTGATGAAACACTTGTTTTTGTTCAGTTTCAGATTGTATTCTCTTGCTCTGTCCAACAACTTTTTGAGTCTCTGATTGTGCTCCTGTATAGTGTTTCCCCACACTAACAAGTCATCTATGATGTTAACAACACCCTCTAAATCCTCAATCATTTGTGCAATGGCCCTCTGGAACACCTCCGGCGCTGACGAGATGCCAAAAGGTAAACGCAGGAACCTGTATCTGCCAACGGGGGTATTGAAAGTACAGAGTTTTGAACTCTCCTCATCAAGTTTTATTTGCCAAAATCCTTGATTAGCATCTAGCACTGAGAAATATTTGGCATTTGGCATGCGAGACACAACCTCTTCCACTGTAAGAAGCGGGTAGTGTTCACGTCTGATAGCTTGATTCAAATCTTTAGGATCCATACAGATGCGTAGTTTCTTTGGTGTAAATACAGTGACCATACTGTTGACCCACTCAGTTGGCTCTGTCTGCCTCGCTATCACTGCCATGCTCTCCATGCGTTGTAGTTCCTGAACTACTCTCTCTCTCAATGCAACTGGTATTTTCCTGGGTGCGTGCACCACAGGTGTGACTGTTTTGTCTATCTGTATGTGATGCTGACCAGGTAAACAACCCAGACCATCAAACAGATCATTGTACTCTTTTAGAATGTCATCCCCTTTGTTGAGCTCAAACATTCGTTTCACTAAACCCAGTTTCAAGCATGTTGTCCCTCCCAGAATAGTTGAAACATTTTCTTGTGTTCTTTCAAACTCAATATGGTGCTTTTTACCTTTATACTCACATGTCAGACTTATCTTTCCCAATGGTGACACCTTGTGGCCAAAGAAGGGAACAAGTTTTGTCTTGCTTGTTTTGAGTTTCTCATCGACTCCAAGTGCCTTCAACGTGTTTACTGACATCGCGTTGCAATCTGCACCTGTGTCCAGCTTGAATGTCACAACTCTGTTTTTTATTTTGAATGTCTCTGTCCATACATTTTTTTTTGGTTTGTCCCTGTAGACTCCATTTCAGACACATTTATGTTATGCTCCACTTCAAGTGTCCCTAAGAACATCTCCGTTTCAGTTTCACTTTGCTCAATGGCATGAACTTTCTTTCCGTATTGTTTACGTTGATCCTGTGCTCTGCACATTTTGGCGAAGTGGTTCTTCTTGTTGCATGTGTTGCACGTTTGACCATATGCAGGACAGTTTTTCCCATGTCTGAATCCGCATCTGCTGCAGTTGATCTCTTTTTGTTCAACTTTTCCCGTGTATTGAGGAGTTTTAAAGTCTCTTGTTCTGACACTTTTCAGCTTGTGTACTTCAACTTCTTCAGTTAATGCTTTAACTTGGCTGGTTGTGATCTCACTAGCTCGGCATATGTCCACTGCTTTGTCTAATGTCAGATCTGCTTCTCGTAACAGTCTGCCTCTCACTTGATCATTTATTATGCCACATACTATTCGATCACGCACGAGTGAATCATGTAGAGCTCCAAATTCACAGTCTTTAGCTTTGTTTTTCAAATCCGTGACATATGTATCAATGCTCTCACCTTGTTTTTGGACTCGGGTGAAGAACATGTGACGTATGTAAGGTAAGTTTTTTCGCGGCTCACAATAGTCTTGAAACTTCTTTTTGAGCACAGCAATGTTGTCTTCCTCTGCATCTGCGAATTGAAACGTGTTGCATACTTTTATCACCTCTTCTCCAGCGACATGTAAAAAAGTCGCACATTGCACTTTTTCGGACTTCTCTGCTATACCGCTAGCTGTACAGAAAAGTTCAAAGCGCTGAAGCCAGTTTCTCCAATTTTCCCCTAGGTTGCCTTGCAAACTCAGGTTCTGTGGTGGTTGAAACTGTGCCATCTTCTCATTTCGCGTTCACTTCTGACACCATGTAATATGTAATATGTAATGAAGGAGGCTTGACGACTCATCAGTTTGTTAGCCATGCGTTTACTCGGTGCCACATAACATAACCCTCACTCCCGCCTTCCTGACGTACGTGCGTAAGTGACCATTGGCTACGGGTGCCTGTTTGCACTCTTACATCACAGATACGTCTATTTGTGAACCATTCCATTGTAGATTTGGCTTTATGTTTTGGATCATTGTCCTGTTGGAAGATAAATCTCCGTCCCAGTCTCAGGTCTTTTGCAGACTCCAACAGGTTTTCTTCCAGAATGGTCCTGTATTTGGCTCCATCCATCTTCCCATCAATTTTAGCCATCTTCCCTGTCCCTGCTGAAGAAAAGCAGGCCCAAAGCATGATGCTGCCACCACCATGTTTGACAGTGGGGATGGTGTGTTCAGGGTGATGAGCTGTGTTGCTTTTACGCCAAACATATCGTTTTGCATTGTGGCCAAAAAGTTTGATTTTGGTTTCATCTGACCAGAGCACCTTCTTCCACATGTTTGGTGTGTCTCCCAGGTGGCTTGTGGCAAACTTTAAACGAGACTTTTATGGATATCTTTGAGAAATGGCTTTCTTCTTGCCACTCTTCCATAAAGGCCAGATTTGTGCAGTGCACGACTGATTGTTGTCCTATGGACAGACTCTCCCACCTCAGCTGTAGTTATCTGCAGTTCATCCAGAGTGATCATGGGCCTCTTGGCTGCATCTCTGATCAGTCTTCTCCTTGTTTGAGATGAAAGTTTGGAGGGATGGCCGGGTCTTGGTAGATTTGCAGTGGTCTGATACTCCTTCCATTTCAATATAATTGCTTGCACAGTGCTCCTTGAGATGTTTAAAGCTTGGGAAATCTTTTTGTATCCAAATCCGGCTTTAAACTTCTCCACAACAGTATCTCGGACCTGCCTGGTGTGTTCCTTTGTCTTCATGGTTCTCTCTGCGCTTTAAACAGAACCCTGAGACTATAAGAGCAGGTGCATTTATACGGAGACTTGATTACACACAGGTGCATTCTATTTATCATCATCAGTCATTTAGGACAACATTGGATCATTCAAAGATCCTCACTGAACTTCTGGACTGAGTTTGCTGCACTGAAAGTAAAGGGGCCCAATAATATTGCACGCCCCACTTTTCAGTTTTTTATTTGTTAAAAAAGTTTAAATTATCCAATACATTTCGTTCCACTTCACGATTGTGTCCCACTTGTTGATTCATGACAAAAAATTAAAATGTTATATCTTTATGTTTGAAGCCTGAAATGTGGCGAAATGTTGAAAGGTTCAAGTACTATCGCAAGGTACTGTGCATATCAACTAGTCTAAGGTAAGAACATATGTCAGTATGTAACAACGGTGGCCTATTCCTTTAAGAGACCAGAGGCAGACATCTTGGAGAGACCAGAGGCAGACATCTTGGAGAGACCAGAGGCAGACATCTTGGAGAGACCAGAGGCAGACATCTTGGAGAGACCAGGGGCAGACATCTTGGAGAAACCACGGGCAGACATCTTGGAGAGACCAGGGGCAAAATGACATAAAACTACTATAAAGTGGTAGTGGTAACAAAAGTGGAAAAACTACACATTTCTAAAAGATTTATTGCATTCACTCAGTATAAGAACAAATTAAATTTGAATTAAATCCTCTTTTTTAAACTAAACTTAAATTCAACCCAATGCACTTAACATGACAGAAAACATTATCTCTGTAAACAATTATGAAATAGTTAATAAACAAATATTGAATAGGAAAAAAACATAGTAAAGTCCATAGTAAAGAATGAAAGACAGAATGTTGTTCCCAGATTCTCATCATTCCGAACTGTGACTTTCATGACGACGACTCAGTGGAAGAAAAAGTCTTGAGCGCAGAAGAAGAAATCCTGAAGAACAGGATGGTGAACATGATGCTGTCTTTTTATTTTCATATTGTCTTTTCAAAAACAAGTAGCGACTCATGATACCGACCAATCCGTGAGTGGGGATGATCAGCCCTGCTCCTGATTGGCTGTATGGTTGCTGTGAGGTCGCTAGGAGAGAAATGCATGGAGCTAATAGATGACATCACACCTGCTCTACAGTCTGTGGGGCGTGTGTGTCTGCATGAGTCCAGGGCCAGTCCAGGGCCAGTCTCGCTCCAGTCCAGGGCCAGTCTCGCTCCAGTCCAGGGCCAGTCTCGCTCCAGTCCAGGGCCAGTCCCGCTCCAGTCCAGGGCCAGTCCAGATCCAGTCCAGGGCCAGTCCCGCTCCAGTCCAGGGCCAGTCCAGGGCCAGTCCCGCTCCAGTCCAGGGCCAGTCAAGATCCAGTCCAGGGCCAGTCCCGCTCCAGTCCAGGGCCAGTCCCGCTCCAGTCCAGGGCCAGTCCCGCTCCAGTCCAGGGCCAGTCCCGCTCCATTCCCGCTCCAGTCCGACTGAAGTCTATAGGCCTCTAAAGGCGGAGGGGGGGGAGCCCACACTGCGGGGGCTCAGAGCAGAGTCGTAGGACCCTGGAGTCATTCCCATGATGCCGTCTGTCTGTGGAGTGCTGCCAAACAGGAAGTCGTCCTCGTCGTCCCGAGAGTCCTGCAAACACAAGAGTAAGCCGGATTATTGTAAAAGAACAAACCAGAGGCCAGAGCACTGCAAACACAAGTATGAGCTTTTTATTCTTAATCTAAGACATTTAGTCTGATTAAAGAACTTTTATTTCCTCATTCCAAGGGAGACATTTCTGAGCCTTATTAAAACAAGATCATGTTGTTTTGTCCCGTTAGAGAATCTGTTTTCAGCAGAAAGTGTCAGATTAACACACATTTAGACTCATGTGTTGCAGTGTAAACATTCCACATGAAACAACATCTGTTTGGTCAGATGTAAACTATGGTCAGATGTAGACTATGGTCAGATGTAGACTATGGTCAGATGTGGTCAGATGTAAACTATGGTCAGATGTAAACTATGGTCAGATGTAGACTATGGTCAGATGTGGTCAGATGTAGACTATGGTCAGATGTAAACTATGGTCAGATGTAAACTATGGTCAGATGTAAACTATGGTCAGATGTAGACTATGGTCAGATGTAAACTATGGTCAGATGTAGACTATGGTCAGATGTAAACTATGGTCAGATGTAGACTATGGTCAGATGTAGACTATGGTCAGATGTAAACTATGGTCAGATGTAAACTATGGTCAGATGTAGACTATGGTCAGATGTAGACTATGGTCAGATGTAGACTATGGTCAGATGTAGACTATGGTCAGATGTAAACTATGGTCAGATGTAAACTATGGTCAGATGTGGTCAGATGTAAACTATGGTCAGATGTAGACTATGGTCAGATGTAAACTACGGTCAGATGTAAACTATGGTCAGATGTGGTCAGATGTAAACTATGGTCAGATGTAGACTATGGTCAGATGTAAACTACGGTCAGATGTAAACTATGGTCAGATGTAAACTATGGTCAGATGTAAACTATGGTCAGATGTAGACTATGGTCAGATGTAGACTATGGTCAGATGTAAACTATGGTCAGATGTAGACTATGGTCAGATGTAAACTATGGTCAGACGTAAACTATGGTCAGACGTAAACTATGGTCAGATGTAGACTATGGTCAGATGTAGACTATGGTCAGATGTAAACTATGGTCAGATGTAAACTATGGTCAGATGTAGACTATGGTCAGATGTAGACTATGGTCAGATGTGGTCAGATGTAAACTATGGTCAGATGTAAACTATGGTCAGATGTAGACTATGGTCAGATGTGGTCAGATGTAGACTACGGTCAGATGTAGACTATGGTCAGATGTACACTATGGTCAGATGTAGACTATGGTCAGACGTGGTCAGATGTAAACTATGGTCAGATGTAAACTATGGTCAGATGTAGACTATGGTCAGATGTAGACTATGGTCAGATGTAGACTATGGTCAGATGTAGACTATGGTCAGATGTAAACTATGGTCAGATGTAAACTATGGTCAGATGTAGACTATGGTCAGATGTAAACTATGGTCAGACGTAAACTATGGTCAGATGTGGTCAGATGTAAACTATGGTCAGATGTAAACTATGGTCAGATGTAAACTATGGTCAGATGTAGACTATGGTCAGATGTAGACTATGGTCAGATGTGGTCAGATGTAGACTACGGTCAGATGTAGACTATGGTCAGATGTAGACTATGGTCAGACGTGGTCAGATGTAAACTATGGTCAGATGTAAACTATGGTCAGATGTAAACTATGGTCAGATGTAGACTATGGTCAGATGTAAACTATGGTCAGATGTAGACTATGGTCAGATGTAAACTATGGTCAGATGTAGACTATGGTCAGATGTAAACTATGGTCAGATGTAAACTATGGTCAGATGTAGACTATGGTCAGATGTAGACTATGGTCAGATGTAAACTATGGTCAGATGTAAACTATGGTCAGATGTAGACTATGGTCAGATGTAAACTATGGTCAGATGTAGACTATGGTCAGATGTAAACTATGGTCAGATGTAGACTATGGTCAGATGTAGACTATGGTCAGATGTAAACTATGGTCAGATGTAAACTATGGTCAGATGTGGTCAGATGTAGACTATGGTCAGATGTAGACTATGGTCAGATGTAGACTATGGTCAGATGTGGTCAGATGTAGACTATGGTCAGATGTAGACTATGGTCAGATGTGGTCAGATGTAGACTATGGTCAGATGTGGTCAGATGTAGACTATGGTCAGATGTAGACTATGGTCAGATGTAGACTATGGTCAGATGTAGACTATGGTCAGATGTGGTCAGATGTAGACTATGGTCAGATGTAGACTATGGTCAGATGTAAACTATGGTCAGATGTAAACTATGGTCAGATGTAGACTATGGTCAGATGTAAACTATGGTCAGATGTAAACTATGGTCAGATGTGGTCAGATGTAAACTATGGTCAGATGTAGACTATGGTCAGATGTAAACTACGGTCAGATGTAAACTATGGTCAGATGTAAACTATGGTCAGATGTAAACTATGGTCAGATGTAGACTATGGTCAGATGTAAACTATGGTCAGATGTAAACTATGGTCAGATGTAGACTATGGTCAGATGTAAACTATGGTCAGACGTAAACTATGGTCAGATGTGGTCAGATGTAAACTATGGTCAGATGTAAACTATGGTCAGATGTAGACTATGGTCAGATGTAGACTATGGTCAGATGTAAACTATGGTCAGATGTAAACTATGGTCAGATGTAGACTATGGTCAGATGTAGACTATGGTCAGATGTAGACTATGGTCAGATGTGGTCAGATGTAAACTATGGTCAGATGTAAACTATGGTCAGATGTAAACTATGGTCAGATGTAGACTATGGTCAGATGTAGACTATGGTCAGATGTAAACTATGGTCAGATGTAAACTATGGTCAGATGTAGACTATGGTCAGATGTAGACTATGGTCAGATGTAAACTATGGTCAGATGTAAACTATGGTCAGATGTAGACTATGGTCAGATGTAGACTATGGTCAGATGTAAACTATGGTCAGATGTAGACTATGGTCAGATGTAAACTATGGTCAGATGTAAACTATGGTCAGATGTAGACTATGGTCAGATGTAGACTATGGTCAGATGAAAACTATGGTCAGATGTAGACTATGGTCAGATGTAAACTATGGTCAGATGTAGACTATGGTCAGATGTAAACTATGGTCAGATGTAGACTATGGTCAGATGTAGACTATGGTCAGATGTAGACTATGGTCAGATGTAGACTATGGTCAGATGTGGTCAGATGTAGACTATGGTCAGATGTAAACTATGGTCAGATGTAGACTATGGTCAGATGTAGACTATGGTCAGATGTAGACTATGGTCAGATGTAGACTATGGTCAGATGTAGACTATGGTCAGATGTGGTCAGATGTAGACTATGGTCAGATGTAGACTATGGTCAGATGTGGTCAGATGTAGACTATGGTCAGATGTAGACTATGGTCAGATGTAGACTATGGTCAGATGTAAACTATGGTCAGATGTAAACTATGGTCAGATGTAAACTATGGTCAGATGTGGTCAGATGTAGACTATGGTCAGATGTAGACTATGGTCAGATGTGGTCAGATGTAGACTATGGTCAGATGTAGACTATGGTCAGATGTGGTCAGATGTAGACTATGGTCAGATGTAGACTATGGTCAGATGTAAACTATGGTCAGATGTAAACTATGGTCAGACGTAAACTATGGTCAGATGTGGTCAGATGTAAACTATGGTCAGATGTAGACTATGGTCAGATGTAGACTATGGTCAGATGTAAACTATGGTCAGATGTAAACTATGGTCAGACGTAAACTATGGTCAGATGTGGTCAGATGTAAACTATGGTCAGATGTAAACTACGGTCAGATGTAAACTATGGTCAGATGATAAACTATGGTCAGATGTAATAGTCAGATACTACGGTCAGATGTAAACTATGGTCAGATGTCAAACTATGGTCAGATGTAGACTATGGTCAGATGTAAACTATGGTCAGATGTAAACTATGGTCAGATGTAGACTATGGTCAGATGTAAACTATGGTCAGACGTAAACTATGGTCAGATGTGGTCAGATGTAAACTATGGTCAGATGTAAACTATGGTCAGATGTAAACTATGGTCAGATGTGGTCAGATGTAAACTATGGTCAGATGTAAACTATGGTCAGATGTAGACTATGGTCAGATGTAGACTATGGTCAGATGTAGACTATGGTCAGATGTAAACTATGGTCAGATGTAAACTATGGTCAGATGTGGTCAGATGTAAACTATGGTCAGATGTAAACTATGGTCAGATGTAAACTATGGTCAGATGTGGTCAGATGTAAACTATGGTCAGATGTAAACTATGGTCAGATGTAGACTATGGTCAGATGTAGACTATGGTCAGATGTAGACTATGGTCAGATGTAAACTATGGTCAGATGTAAACTATGGTCAGATGTAAACTATGGTCAGATGTGGTCAGATGTAAACTATGGTCAGATGTGTAGACTATGGTCAGATGTAAACTATGGTCAGATGTGGTCAGATGTAAACTATGGTCAGATGTAGACTATGGTCAGATGTAAACTATGGTCAGATGTAAACTATGGTCAGATGTAGACTATGGTCAGATGTGGTCAGATGTAAACTATGGTCAGATGTAGACTATGGTCAGATGTAGACTACGGTCAGATGTAAACTATGGTCAGATGTAAACTATGGTCAGATGTAGACTATGGTCAGATGTAGACTATGGTCAGATGTGGTCAGATGTAAACTACGGTCAGATGTAGACTATGGTCAGATGTAAACTATGGTCAGATGTAAACTATGGTCAGATGTAGACTATGGTCAGATGTAAACTATGGTCAGATGTAAACTATGGTCAGATGTAGACTATGGTCAGATGTGGTCAGATGTAAACTACGGTCAGATGTAGACTATGGTCAGATGTAGACTATGGTCAGATGTGGTCAGATGTAAACTATGGTCAGATGTAAACTATGGTCAGATGTAAACTATGGTCAGATGTAGACTATGGTCAAATGT